CACATTATTAGATCAGATTCTTAGATTCAAATAACATTTCTCATTTTATTATATGTAGTCCGTCTCATAAGACATTATTGTTTTCCTTTAGGACTTGACTACGGTACCATCAAAAAAATTTTGGTATTATATCTCTAAAATTTATTATTTCAAAAGGGTGTTTCTATCATTTTTGTGAATTATTTTACAATCAAAAAATATATTACTTTTGTGGTTAATTAATCACTTTTGTGAGTTTTTTATCATTATTGTGGATGATTTTATTTCATTGTGGTAACTATTTTTACCACTTTTCGTAAGTACAAAAAAAATTATCACTTTTGTAGTGATTTATCATATTTGTAACTGTTTTTACTATATTTGTGAATAATTTTACCACTGTTATAATAATTATTTTTTTTTGGTACCACAACAATAGTAAAAACACCCATAAATTTAGTAAAAATTACAATAAATGTGATAAATTTTAGAATAATACCGAAATTTTGAATCTTGGTACCGTAGTCAATCACCTTTCCTTTATAGACCAAAATCCAAGACAGACAACGAATTAGTTACTATTTGATCACAGGGCGGAGTCAAAAAAAATTTTCAGTTGGGCAACTATCAAGTTAAAAAGAATCGAAGGCAATCATCAAGTTAAAGAGAATCATTATTTAACAATTATCAAAGTTCGTTGCATCTAGTAAACATATTTATTATTTTAAAATTTCATTCTCTATAAAACAAAATTTCTTAATCTAACATCTTTTATAAAATAATTCTTCATATTATTTTTTTTTTACTTTCAAAGATTTTACATATAAATACACATGAAAAAAAGGATGGCCGACTATGAAAAACCAATATAATTTTTTTTTAAAGCATTAGAATAAAGACAGTTTTCATAGAGAATGCTATTTTGACATATTATTTTGTGAGTGTACTTGTCAATGATAAGATTTTGACTCATTCGAATGACAATTTGTCTTGAAAACCCTATTTTGAGTCTAAACTAATTATTCAATTGATTTCGTTTTTATAATCCATAATTGAATCCATTAAATATTATGAATTTTATCAAAAATCCAATATTATATATGTGTGTGTGTCCCATTGTAATTTTCATTCAATTTAATTGTTTAGTTTTATCAAATGTTTATATATACATATTTGTGTATGCATATCAAATTGAATTGAATTGAATGGAATCATAATTAAATCAAATTTTTTTATGCGCCCAAATCTAAAATCTTAAAAAATGATGTAGTATATTTGAATTTAGATAATTGGTCAAAAATATAAATCTATGTCTTAGTAATCAAATTCGGAAAAGGATTAATTTGGTAACTTAGGTGAGTCATTGTAGAAGAAATAAAAATAACTAGAGATTAAATAAAAAATTGTGAGATTAAGTCTCTATCAACAAACCTTGAGTCTAAATTTTTAGTGCATTAAAAAAAATGAGAGGGGAAAGTTATTAAAAAAATTAATTTTTATTATAATTTTAAATTAACCTTACAAATTTTCAGATATTAAGGGTGTCCTTGAATGATAAGGTTAGACTTGATTTAAAATTCAAAGAAATATTATTTCCTATTCAATTCAAATTCACCTATTATTGTATTGGTTAAAATATCAAATTTACCTATTATTGGGCTGGTTAGAATTCATTGACTATATTCTATCATCAAACTCAAGTTATTTTTGATATATTTTTTACTTACCAAATATGAGATATATGAGCCTCACACACTTTTTTATCCTATCCTATCAAAGTTATTCCCCCTTTAACTAGCATTCATACATATCCTAAAGGTCTCCCTTCCCCCCAAGCTACACGATTGTTTGAGTTAACCACTCATGCTTATGTTAAGAACAATAACTTGGAATGATAATTCCTTAACTAGTGTTTTTGGGTGAATTTCTGTAATTCCTTTATGCAAAGTGGTGTTCAGCTACAACAAATTCAGTAAGGTTGGTTTTTGGATCAAGAAAGAGACAAAGCAAGTTGGTTGTAATCAATACACGTTCTTCGGTGGACGATACGGAGGTTTTTAAAATGGTTAACAACTCTTTTAATGGTGAAAGAAAGGTTATTTAGAACCTGTTAGCTCTAGAACGGGGCTCCTCCAATAGTGTGCGACAACTATATTAATGAAGGGAATAAATTTTTTTTAGGCAGCCAAACAAAATACAGCAGCTATACAAAAACACAATCGAATATTCAGAATTCTCAATAAATTTGTGTAGCTCTTGACTGTCTGCAAACAATATAGACTACCTATAAACAATTTATTCTCATTAACGAAAGTTGCCCACCCAACCCCCCTCAAGACATAATCTCGGATCTTACTATGTCACTATAAATTTTTATTGGTCGAATCTACTTCGTCAGTCACACAAATCTCTCATGATATATGGTTGTCTATCCTTTGCCATTGTGTCTCTTTTTTTTCTTTTTTTTAATAGTCAAGAGTGTTTGAATTAGTTTACGTGCATCTCGATTAATTTCCTTTTCAGTCTGATTAGAGACAAGTCATCCATGCCTAAACTAGAGTATTTATGAGGGTCATAACCTGATTTCAATGAGTTGTCAAAATTCGAACTCAGAACAATTGAATTTATATCTCGTCCATGCTATTATATCTCTTTCGCAATACATATAGAGCAATGATGTGGTTTTAATACAATCATTGAATTAGTTGTGAGTTCCAATATTAGATAGAGTCCACAATCAATCCAATGATTATACATCATTACTCATCCACGTCTTCGCTCATGTTCCTGTGCAAAGAAAACATATTGGATGTAATCAATGACACCACATAGTATTAATCATCTCGTGTACTAACTAAACTTAGTGGGTTTTGTTTTTTAATTTGGTAATTAACAATAACTATTTATCATGTTGGAATAGTGTGGTTTATCAATCTTATTTATTATTTTTACAAAAAAAATCAAGAATTTGAATGACAATATGACATTGAGTTGGTGGTCTAGTAGTTTGTAATATTTTATTTAAGGTAGTAACCAAGTTCGATTTACAATGACTCATATTGTTCCCACTGACAGCTTTATAGTGTAGGATTAAACTATGACTCGAGTTATTAGCCTTTGAGAGTGTCTATAATCTCTCTTCATCTAGACTCCACTGGTGAGCTTCCCTCTTTCCCTCGAACATTTTTTACCGAGCAAAATAAATATAAAAATGTGACAATATGAGAGAAGTTAGGACAACAGTAAATTCCATAAGACGCAAAAATGGAACTTAGGAGCTTTATCTGGTTTTAACCTGGGTGTGATAGTGAAGGTTCGTCATGAATTCTCCTTCCTATTGTTGTTATCATATGCAGAAAATCTTTGCAGATGATACAGAGGCAATATTTCTTGAAGGCTCAGTGTCATGAATTTGATTATAAGAGTGTCAAATATTAATATGTAATCCGATATTCAATTAGTATAAATTAATGGATTTGATATCAAATTTATTTTTGTGGGTCGTAATCGAGTCGAGATGCATCACTTAAATCATTAAGTAGATTAATATGAGTCGTGATGGTAGTGGTGATAATGGTGGTTGAAACAGCACCGGTGACAACGATGATAATTGTGACAATTGTGTATCTTGATTCTCTATTTACACGTAAATAAATAAAAAAAAATTAAGAGTAATTCAAATGGTAATAAGAATGAACTATAAACTCAGATATTCTAAGTTAAAATTTTGGTAATTCTTTTGAGATCCTTCATTAATACTCTAGTCCCGGCATGAATTGTCTTATCTTTCATCGGATCGAAGAAAAAATTAATCGAGATGCGTGTAAATTGGTCCGAACACCTTAACTATAAGTTCAAATAAATCATTCAATTTTTTACTTGAGATTTCCCTATCACACAGTAAGTAATGTTCAAAAAAATACCATAAATATCAAAGTAAATAATTAGTCCATTATTGTTGACATAACTTCTTATGGGAGGAGAAGGATTAGAAATTTACAACTCATCATAACAGAAATTGCCTTTTAAAAACTACTACTTCATGTAGACATGTCCTATTTCGAATCTACCCATGTAGCCTTGCACAAAATAATCCGGTTTCCTTTCAAGCATCATTTCATACAATTAACACTACAATTCTATTCTAGAGGCAAATGTCAGCTTTTATGCTTTGTTTGGTATAACAAAAAAAAATGAAAGAATAAAAGGTTAATAGGATAAATAAATATATGATGTTTGGTAAAAAAAAAAGAATGATGGAACATTTGACTATCCTTCTAAAATTAGGAAGAAAAATAGATAAAAAAAATTAATTATTTGTATTAAGATACATAATATTTACCTTTATATCTTTTAATATGTGTATATATTCTATTTATCTATTACATGTTATGTACACATTAATTTTCTATAGAGATACAATAGTAAAATATATCTATACTTTTTTCATCCTATCACTTCTCATTCTATTAAACAATAAAAAAAAAAAGAGCAAAAAGGAATGACCTAGTGGTTAGTGTCTTTCCCACCTTACCCCCTAATTCAAGATTGGAGTCTCATATAAAAATAATAATTATTATTATTTTTCTTCCTTCTAACAAACACAAAAGAGAAAATGAATGATTCTTCTATTGAAGAATAAAAAGTGTATCTATCACTTTCTATCCTATTATATTTTTAAAAGGGCAAAAAATAGTAATAGTAAAGAACAAGCCACTTTAAATAAAACAACAGAAAATTTCACTATTAAAAAAAAAACTTCTTTTACTATTAAAAAAAAAAAAAAAAACTTCTTCTTTTTTTTTTTCTTTTGTGCTACCAAACACCAAAGAAACATTATTAATACCATATGTTATTAATTTAAATACTTTATCAAGGTCCACTTTTCTCCACAACCAAACACACCCATTGAGGTGGGAGTTAGGAATACGGGAAAGGGTTGGGTATTGCCGTATGCGCATCGCGCACCTCTGCGCACCGTTGGTTCCCACCAGTATTAAATACTACTTTAACTGCGCTTGCTTTCACTCCGTAATCATTACGTTATCATATTTTAACTTCATATTTCTCGTCGGCGATTTGACGGAATCTTCGTTTCTTCGCCGCCGTTACTTGCCGGAATCTGGCCCACGAATCTACTGTTTTTTCTATATCAATCTGCCCTAAACTTACCCTTTTTTGGGTCTCTTTTTTCTTTGTATAACTAAGCTTTCTTTGTATGTTTGGTAGTATTATACTCTATAGACGTACCCCCATTGGTTTTCTTGATTTTCTTGAGATCTGAAGCGAAGTTGATGATCTATGAAGCTTTTGGCGATAAGGGTCTTCTTAATTTCTTGGTGGGATTTGAATCTCTGTAAGTCTAAGTTAAATTTCGTGTTATTATCTCAATTTGTGGGAAATGTAATGGAATATTTGAGGTTTTTTTGGGTATTTTTATTAGGTTGTTTTAGCTTGGATCTTGGTGAATGTAGAGAGTTTATGTGAATTTGGTTACTTGAGTGTAGTGATGGACGCGCTTTTGGTTTTTGACTGAGTTTGAATTTAGCTTGACTATTCTGTAGTGAATGGAAATATATTGGAAGGGTTAGTGTCTCTTGATTCATGATGTTAGTTGATTTTTTGTGGCTGTTGGGTGTATGATCAATTTTGTTCTTGATTTAGGTGTAAATTTTAAGTTTGATATTGAAGTCCTCTGTGTTGAAGTAAATTCATTTGAATGATTTATGATCTTAATCAGGATATTTGTTAAAAAAGTATGGATTTCGAATGTAGGTGAACTGGGTTTTTGAGTTAAAGTCTAAACTCGAAATTACTTTCGAGATCTTGTGATTTGTATCTCATTATTCCCAATTGTGTTATCTGACTCAGAAATCTTGGATATTTTTTAATTGAATTCATGTTTTAGTTTTGTAATTGTTTTGACGTTAGTTTTTCCTTTTTACATGAATTTGACGTTAACCAAAAACCGAATTATAGCTTGAAATTCTGAGTTGTCTTATATTTTGCAGACATGTAGATATGGTTTTGTTGAGAATTGGCCTTCAGTTGTTAAGCATTATGGATTTTCTGTAAATTTCCTTGGAGAATTGGGTTTGAAATTTGAATTTTGAGATGGAACCAACCAAAGAAGAGGCCCTTAGAGCTAAAGAAAATGCCGAGAAGCTATTTGCGGTGAAAAACTTTGCTGGGGCAAAGGATTATGCTTTAAAGGCTCAAAAGTTGTGCCCTGAACTGGAGGGTATATCTCAAATGGTAGCCACATTTGAAATTTATACTGCTTCTGAGGTGAAAATTAATGGAGAAATAGATTTCTATTCTATTCTTGGATTGAAGCCATCTGCAGACAAAGCTATGTTGAAGAAACAGTACAGAAAGATGGCCGTTTTGCTCCACCCTGATAAGAACAAAACTGTGGGAGCTGATGGGGCATTCAAGCTTGTCTCTGATGCATGGACTTTGTTGTCTGATTCTAACAAAAGAAGCACGTACGATCTCAAAAGAAACATGAATTTGTCATCAGGTGTTTTCCAGACAAACTTATCTTCAGTTCAAAGTGCTGGGGTTACTGGATTAGACAATTTTTCCATATCTTCAGCCTCTCGCAATAAACTTGACACTTTTTGGACTGTGTGCACCTCTTGTCATGTGCAGTATGAATATCTTCGGAAGTACATCAATAAAAGACTTTCCTGTAAGAACTGCCGTGGTGTTTTCATTGCCGTTGATACAGGAGCAGCCCCAATAAATGGCTCTTTCCCGTATTGTGCTTGGTCAAATGTGCCTGATGATCAGTATAGAAGTCATGGATATGGAGTTACATATGTCCCAACTACTTCTGTATACTTCACGGGAAATGGAGTCTCAGGACTTCATTCTGGACATGGATCTGAGTATGCTTCTAATGCATCACTTCATTGGAGCTCGTTTCCCGGAGCCCCTACTGGAGTTTTGGATCCTAATGGATTATCAACGTCTGCTGATCTTATTCATTTGACAAATGGAAAAGTCCAATCAAGAAAAGCCAATGGAAAACATCATATGAAAAATGCTGGTGGTGATGTGTGTTCCATTGGGTATAGTGTGTATCATGAACCACCGGTCCTCAAGGCCAGTAGATCCACTAAGAAAAGGAAGGTTGAGCTGGGAAGCACTTGTCGTCATGGAAATGAAGAAACCGCTTCCAGAACTGCCCCAGAAGTGGGAGTGGTTAATGGAAATGGAATTATCAAACAGAGTAGTCAGCTTTCCACTGGTGAAATTTTGGCCAGACGCTGCTCTGCTGCCACTGCATTTGATGCTAGAAAATTATTAATTGACAAGGCGAGAACAGAAATTCGTAAGAAACTGGAAGAAATGAAGTTGGCTTCAGCTGCAGCAGCTGCTGCCGCTGCAGTGGCTGAGAATAACAAAAAAGCACATATTGAAGTCACTCAATCCAGTGAGGCACCTAAAAGAGCAGGTTTGAGTGATCCTAGTCTTCAACCAGAGCTGCAGAAAACTGGGTCGGTGTCAATAGTAGTCCCTGACTCAGACTTCCATGATTTTGACAAGGATAGATCAGAGGAATGCTTCAAGCCTAGGCAAATATGGGCTCTCTATGATGAAGAAGATGGTATGCCTCGCTTGTATTGTCTGATCCGTGAGGTCATCTCGGCAAAACCATTTAAAATTCATATCAGTTACTTGAACTCAAAAACTGATGGTGAATTTGGGCCCGTCAATTGGGTGGATTCAAGGTTTACGAAAGGTTGTGGAAATTTCAGGGCATACAACTCCGAAATTGTTGACCAAGTTAATATCTTCTCTCATCTTTTGAGTCGGGAGAAAGCTGGCAGGGGTGGCTGTATTAGAATCTACCCAAAAAGTGGGGACATATGGGCTGTATATCGGAATTGGTCACCAGATTGGAACAGAAAAACCCCGCATGAAGTTAGACACCAGTATGAGATGGTGGAAGTTCTTGATGATTATTCTGAAGAGCTTGGTGTATGTGTTACTCCTTTGATTAAATTAGATGGATACAAGACAGTGTATCAGCGTAACACGAATAAAGATGCCATTCGTTGGATTCCAAGAAGAGAGATGTTACGGTTTTCACACCAGGTGCCATCTTGCTATCTGAGAGGAGAAGCCATGAAGCTGCCTGGGGGTTGTTGGGATCTAGACCCTGCTGCAACTCCAGACGAGCTTCTCCAGGCTGTAACTGAAGTACAGGCCAAAGAAAAGCCTAGTGATGCAGAAAACACTGTTGGAACTCCAGGTGAGCTTTGTCAGTCTGGAACCAAAGCAGAGGCTCAAGAAAATCCTAGTTAAACAGAAAAGTCGGTTGCAACAACAGATTTGCATCTTCAGGATATAACTGAAGGAAAGCCTGGTCAATCAAAAACTATTCTGGACCTCGAGATGAGCTTCACAAGGCTGAAACCAAGACACAAGGTGAAGAAAAGTGTGGTCAAACATAGAATACCACTGCAACTCCAGATGATTGTTTTCCGACTGTAACAGAAGTACAGGGCGAAGAAATGCCTAGCCAAGGAGAAAAGTAAGTCCAGAGGGTCCTCTTTATCATTGTTCTGACAATCTCAAGATTCAAAATGTACAGATCTGAACACATAATGACATTTCATTTCTCAAAACTTAGGTAGCTGAGAGGATCACAAGATGATCCATTCCATCAATCCTAGATTGTTTTAGCCAGCCCTATGCTTACTGAGTAATTTGTGACTCGAATTCAAATCTATCAACTGCTTGTTTACAGAAATGGTTCTGCTGTTTTAGATGGATATAAAACTTCTGTCAATGCAACGTGGAAAGTTGGGTCATTGGGCCCTATTAACTTTCAGTAATTGTCCAGTGATTGTGAATGTACCAGATCATTTGGTGTAGAAAATTTGAGAACTTATTGGTACACAACATTACTGGATGCAGACTTTGGGCCAGGAAGATAATAGGTTCATGCCTTGATAATTCAGGCCCTTGAAAGAAGAACCTTGCATAGCTTGCAAATTCTAACCTTTATCTAAATTCTTGATCTAGCCGGTGAGCAGCCGGCTTGGTGGATTTCACCTAGCTAATTACCGCGCTGACAAAATTCATGTTGGCATTGTGTTTTCACTTAGCAGGACCTCTGCAGAATCTTTGGTTGCATACTCTGAAGGCAACAGCTTCAGTCTGCATATAAATGAAGCTTTGCTATGAGAATATAGTTACAACTCAATTTTGCTTTGATGGACATATGAGCTTTTATTTTGCCTGTGAGTTAGTATTGACTCCATGGGAACATAAAGATCCAGTTCAGGAACATGTATCTACATGAAAACAGACAGGTGAATTGGTGAACATAACCTTGTACACATCTCTCTCAATAAAAACAAATTGGTGTTATGGATAAAGAATTTCTTAAAGCTGCAGAACATGTTCACGTGATAAAAAAGGCATACCTAGTGCACAAGGCTCCTGCTAATATGGGGTCTGGGGAAGATTAGATATACGCAATCGTGACGGTGATGTCCACGAAAACAAATATTTACTGTAGACATAGTAATCACCTTATGTTCCATTAACTAGTTATGAAACACGACATTATGATTACACAATGCAAAGTAATGAACTCAAATTATTCAAGTATTGCTATTATGTTTTAGAAGAAACATCCAATTTACTTGTACCTGTTTAAGAAAAGAATGGCAATAAGCAATCTAGGCTATTAAACGTTATGCTCCATTTCTAGTGTAAGTGGTTAAATTCTTCATATCTTTACTAATTTAAAATGTCTACATATCTGAAATACTTTTTTTTTTCCACTTTTATCAGAAAAACTTTTTTTTCCACTTTTACCCTCCAAAAAAATAAGTATTTCATTTTTATCCTTCAAAATTAATGGCACACTAAACCTAATTTATCACCTCCAACTTACTGCATTCCAATTATGCAGCCGTTACAACACCCTTCTCTCTCTACCATTCGGTGAACAACAAGCAGCCACGCTCCCTCATGTTCCATCTCTCTCTCTCTCTCTCACACACACATTCATCACTCGGTGAAAAACAAAAAGTCATGCTCCCTTTCTTCTCCTTCCCCAATCCAATTGCAATATGTGTCATTCACATGATAGAATCGAACATTTCCGCATTCATGATACCGGTTAGAAGATCTAAATTTGCAATCGTCAATTCATTGCCATCAAAGATGATTTCGATCTAAAAACTCTCCAAGTAAGTCTTCAAACTTTTTCTCCCTTAGTTACATGATCTTATTAATACGTTCCAACTTGTAGCAATATAGATTAAAAGTGACATGATGTTGGCTGTTATAGTTTTGGTTTAGTGGAGGCATGGTTTTTGGTTTTGGTTATTCATAATGTTAATTACAATATGTTGTTTATAGGTGTTGTTATCTGAAGCAAGGGCATGCATGTATTCATTAGGTGGTTTCACATGTTATCTATAAATCTGTAGAGCTAATTATTATATGGAATCTTGCTTCTCAGGGGTGATTGGAAGGAGCTGAAATTTAAAAGAGTATAACTTTAGTGCCAAAGGTCAGCCCTGTTGAGGTGGTAATCTCCGTTCATTGCTCAAGGCAAGGTTTTTCTTTGGACAAACTTCATTCACGCCCCTCTAAATAAACATATCTACAATGAGACCCCCTCTAGATAAGTATATAGTCCAAAAGGGCTATTGACTGAACTAAGTTATCAAGTCAAATGTATTTCGGACATGTCACAAAATTAATGACATACAATAGAAGACGAGCTTGAAAATTTGGGGTCATTGCCTTCTTTCTCTAAGACTCAAAACAAGGTTTTTTTTGTCATTCAAATTGTCAAATATATGAAATACATGAAAAACATCAATTAACAACATAAATGAAAAACAATTTTTTTTTTCATTTTTACCCTCAAATACTTCAACGATGTCATGCTTATCCTCTAGATTTAATGCTAACCTTACTTAATTTAGTCTTCATATAAATACCATTTCATTAATATTATTTACACCCAGCTTTTTCGTGGTCTTTGCTTTAATACACATCCAAATATTTTCCATTGCCCGTATCTACGTCTTCCGCTCTTTATTCCACTAAACTTAGGACTCTCCATTTTATTGTTTCTCCAAGTGTCCTGCCCTCCCAAATTTCTCTATTGCTTTCTATATAATTTGCCAACAGGTGTGAAGCTTGAGTCTCTGTCTTCTTTGAAAAAGTTCTCTTATCGTTGGAACATCGTGGATCAAATGTTGTTCATTATTTGCTTTCTTCGTGTTGTGGATTTTGTTTGTGATTTTTCGAATACGAGATACATCAATTGATTTTTAATTTGTTTTTGTTTTCTACTGCTGTTTTTTTTTTCTGATTACTTGTTATGTTGGAGTCTAGAAGGCATTTCATTTCAGATTTACTCTTACCAATCTCACCCAAATCCATGTCCAACAAAATTGCATGTAGATTTTTTGTTTTGTCCTAGATGATATTTTATTTGTACTTTTTTCACTAATTTTTTTGTTAGTTTATTTTTGCAATTTTATGATTATCTACCAATTAGCGGGGTGTATAGTGAAACACTATAAGAGAAATTCAAAACACAGTGAAGACATGATTGGAAAATGGATGCAATACATCTGCAGCATGCGATAGGATTAATTTAGTATAAGTGGACATTATGGTTCAACTCGGCAAATAGTATTTCATCAATTTTGTTTAATAACCCTTTTGTAGTAGTAGATTTTCCTTGTTGAAAATTTGCCAATCTTTTGCCTCTTTCTTGTATGGGAGCCGAATACCTTCTTACAATTAGGGAGTTTTTGTTTGTGCAACAAGACTTAAACTAGGTCATGATGTTCTCCTTTCTCAATTATAATTAAGTTATAGACTTGTTCTTTGTATTCACTTAATCATCCCAAAATCTTTCCTATTCTTAAGTAATAAGTAGTACAAAAACTATGACTACAAACTTGATTGATTAAATAGATATAGAAAATCATATTAAGAAAAAATATAAATAAATTTATAATTTAAAATTGTTCACGTGCTATGCATCAACTAGTAAACATAAAAGCTTATAAGGATGGCAATGAATATAGTCATATCATATATTTAGTTTGTATCATTTATAATGGTAGTTCTTGAAATCATTGTCTCTTGTTGGAAAAAAAATTCTAATTTTGTTTCAATTCCTTTTTAAAATATCATCTCTCATGAATTTGTACAACATCAATGAAATTAGGGATATCTCTCACGATATATGTTATATTATTACACTGAAAAAATTGAAGATAATTTAGTGTTAGAGAGAAATCGAATCTGACATGGAGACTTAAAAAAGTAGATAATAGTTTACAAACATAGGCTAGCTTTTGGTTTAATTTGTTTCCGAATCAAGTTGGCAAATAAATGGTTAGGATGGATGTATATTTTATTTTTATTTTTTTTCCTTTTTTTTTAACACTAGTATGCACAATTAACACACAAGTTATTCACTTGCTCAGCACTTTATACACACAAGAAGGATTATAAACCCAAAGTCTACAATCCAGTCCAAAAGGGCCTAAACATTCATACATAACTAATGGAATGCTTATAGTATCTCCATTACCCGATAAAAAGATCTTGTCAATATTGATATAAATTATCTTTCTCTTGTTTTCAGCTATAGCAAAAACCCTTAAATCTAAAGTCGCTTGGTATTCCAACCTAGTTCCAACAAAGCACTTTTCGGACCGAGAAAGAGGAACGGTATGACATTATATATGATAACTCATAAAAGTTTGATTCGCATCATTATGCTCAATAAAAAGAATGCAGGAAGCTTCGATAAAAAAATATGAAAGAGAAAATTAATTTAAAGATAAACTTGTTTCCGTACAATAGTCAAGAATTCTTGACGATATCGCACTGGAATAACTTATTTTTCGTAAATACCTTGACTTAAAACTAAAAAAAAAATTGCCACATTGAGACAAAATTTATAAACTCCATAGACATTGTTTTTTTCCTTAAAAAAAAATAAAATAAAATAAAAAAATAAAAGAAAGGGAGAGTGGGATGTGCTACTAGTGTTCAGGAACTTTTGACCAAAACCAACCTTTCCACCAACTTTATTCCTAAATCTAACTTTTTTTAAACTTAATTCTCAAACTCAGTCTATTTTTAAAAACGTCATTTGAAATAATGTCTTCTCAATGAAAAACGTCATTTCTTAATAAAAAACGTCATTTAGAAGGACATTTTTAACCTTCAACCCAAGTGAACAAAAATTATCATTTAAAGTGACACCTTTAAAAACGTTATTCAAAATGACTTTTTAACTTTACAATTTTAAACAGTTACACGAAGTAAATAAAATCATATCATTCCAAATGAACCATTCCCAAATTAGATCATTCCCAAATCACAATTCACCCTCTCTCAGAAGCAGCTCTCCTCCTCCTCCAACCACTCTCAGCCACCGTCTTCTCTGATGAGGAATATCGATTTCTCCTTCTCCTCCAACCACTAACCCAACATCTTCTCCGATGAGGAAGACCAGTCTGACGAGGATGATATGGGATGTTTAAGAAGGAAAATGTCATGCAGCAAATCACGCTGCAATTAGCGGGATTTATGCTGCAATTAATAATGGTTGATTGGCTGGATTCTAGGATCTTATTAGGATTTGATTAAGCTTTTTTTTTTTGTATTTATTTGGAGTCTTTGCGGGTAGATGGAGAGAGCAGAAATTTGTATTCTTTTCAATTTTAATAATAGAGGGTTTCTCCCTAGAAATGGGAATTTTGCCTATTCTTCTGCATCTTTCTTC